ATCATCTCGATGTATATCGTTACAGTTCACTCACGATAGAGTCTGTAGATTCCGAAACGTTATCATCTCGATGTATATCGTTACAGTTCACTGACGATGGGGTCTGTAGATTCCGAAACGTTATCATTTCGATGTATATTGTTACAGTTCACTGACGATGGAGTCTGTAGATTCCGAAACGTTATCATCTCGATGTATATCGTTACAGTTCACTGACGATGGAGTCTGTAGATTCCGAAACGTTATCATTTCGATGTATATTGTTACATATCGCTGACGATGGAGTCTGTATATTCCGAAACGTTATCATTTCGATGTATATTGTTACAGATCGCTGACGATGGAGTCTGTAGATTCCAAAACGTTTTCATCCACGATGTATGTTGTTACACTTCACTGACGATGGATTCTGTAGATTCCTAAACGTTATTATCTCGTTGTATATTGTTACAGTTCACTGACGATGGAATCTGTAGATTCCGAAACGTTATCATCTCGATGTATATTGTTACAGTTCACTGACGATGTAATCTTGAGATTCCGAAACGTTATTATCCCGTTGTATATTGTTACAGTTCGCTGACGATGGAGTCTGTAGATTCCGAAACGTTATTATCTCGTTGTATATTATTACAGTTCGCTGACGATAGAGTCTGTAGATTCCGAAATGTTATCATCCTCGATGTATATTGTTACAGTTCGCTGACGATGGAGTGTGTAGATTCCGAAACGTTATCATCCTCGTTGTATATTGTTACAGTTCGCTGGTGATGGAATCTGCAGGTTCCGAAACGTCGTTGAATTAATAAAGATTTGGTGAAATATGTTTTACAACTGTTATTATGGTGCTGCTGCATATGAGTTAAGAAAGCACGAACACACACACATACACATTCAAACGTATTTCGTATTATTAAGGCTAAAATGCAGTGTTTGGGCGTGTCGTGCTGCAGTTCAAAAGGCCCTGGGATCGAGACTTGATGCCGGTGGCCACGCTCTACGTTTTCAGCTGTGAGTGTATTATAAGAGTTACTGTCAATCCAGTTCAAAAGAACCAGGCAATCCCTTATGGCGATGGGTGCTGTTGGTTGGCTGCCTTGTTTCTGATCAGTAGTTCAAAACTATAGACGGCTGTGCACGAATCCTTGGGGTTCTCTGATCTGGCCTCGCTTCTTTAATCAGGGTTTACGCTATTTTACATTACGTTCTATTTCAAATGCACCATTTAAAATACTACGTTTATTATTTTTGGGGTGGCTCCGAATTTTATGATGCGCATAAGTAACTGTACAATACAATACAAAAGCTGGCTTTTATATGTAAACTTAGATCAGAAAGTTATCGTTGTTTTAATGTACGATTTGAAAGTATGCGAACAAAACAGCCAACTTTAGACGAGAGAGAGAGATCCGACTTTAATCAAGATAAATTACAGGTTTTTCTGATGTAGAAATGTGAGATGATTTAGGCAGCTTTAGACGAGAGAGATCCAACTTCAATCAAGGTAAATTACAGGTTTTTCTGATGTAAAAATGTGGGATGAATTAGGCAGCTTTAGACGAGAGAGATCCGACTTCAATCAAGGTAAATTACAGGTTTTTCTGATGTAGAAATGTGGGATGATTTAGGCAGCTTTAGACGAGAGAGATCCGACTTCAATCAAGGTAAATTACAGGTTTTTCTGATGTAGAAATGTGGGATGATTTAGGCAGCTTTAGACTAGAGAGATCCGACTTATATATGTTTAGCGATCAAACAAGAAGCTTTAATCAAGATAGATTAAACGGTTTTATCTTATGTAAGTATGTACGGATAAAACAGACAACTTTAGACAAGACAGACGTTTTTATGTGGTATAGATATAAAGGATAAGACTCAGTTATAACAAGAGGCTTTAAACAAGATAGATTTGACGGTTTGATATTATGTAAGTTTGTAGGATAAGATCAGGTTGTTTTATCTTATTCAAAAGTGCAAAAAACAACAACAAAAACCAGTTGAATTGGAAGATTTTTCTGGTCGATATTCTACCGATAACTAACGAACCTTATAGAAAATAGATAAAGTTAAACACGAACGTTTCATAGACTGGCTCCTAATTACTCAGTGGCTTATAACACTAAAAATCAGGTTTCGATACCCACGGTGGGCATAGCAAAGACACAACATGTGATCATGTTAAAATCACTTGCTGAATTTCACTTCAAACATTGCAGAGGTTTACGACGTCTCTTTCTTAGATCAGCGTGTTGTATTCTGAATCACGTTTCTTAGAAACGCGTGTTTTATCCTGACTCATATTTCATAGATCGGTGTGTTTTATCTTGACTCATGTTTCATAGATCGGCGTGTTTTATCCTGACTCATGTTTCAAGAATCAGCGTGTTTTCTTCTGAATCATGTTTCCTAGATCAGCGTATTTTATTTTGAATCGTGTTTCTTAGAAACGCGTGTTTTGTCCTTATTCATATTTCATAGATCAGGTTGTTTTATTCTGAGTCATGTTTCATAGATTGGTGTGTTTTATTCTGACTCATGTTTCATAGATCAGAATGTTTTATTCTGAATCATGTTTTTTATATGCGCATAGTTTATCCTGAGCCAATATTCACTTTGAACAACTTTAAACTTCACCTCAGTTCTAGAAATCAGAAAACATAGCCGAATAGTCGTTATCCCACTGTGCATATGGTTAAATGTTACCATAACTTTCACAGTAAGAAAACGTTGGTTGAAGAATGTTGAACCATAGTTAACAGACGGTTACAATAACGGATTACACCAGAGTTATTGATGATTTAGCGTTTTTTACTTACTATAGTTAACAGACGGTTACAATAACGGATTACACCAGAGTTAGTGATGTTTAACGTTTATTACTTATACGACGTGAAGAGTTTCTACATGGTTGATACACAGTACGCGGTTACTGTAATATAACGTGTCACACCAGTGTTTCTGACTCATCAACAGTCACGAGGAAGATAAAATAGTCTATAGAACATTTTTTACTTCCGCCGGAAGTCTTAAGAGGCTAAGATGACAAGGAGTGTAATGTCAGAACTGTATCGTTACATCGCCATTGACAATTGGTTTAAAAAAAAATGAGAGCGAGAAGAAAAACAGTAATGGACCGCTGGTTAGACTGCCAAGAA